ATATATATATATATTCCTGTGGAATTTTTATAGAAAATAGCGTTAGTCTCTTTCTTTAAAAAATATCCTAACTGAGCAGAATATTTTTATTAATTATAGAATATATTATAGAAGTACCAAATAATAAATATAGAATATATATTAACAGAAGTACCAAACTATTACTTTCATTTAACATTGTTATTTCACATTTTTGAAAGTTCAAAGTGAACTGTACTGTTATGCAATAACTGCTAATTAACAGTTAATCAACAGTGATAGTCAAAATGTAAGTATTGTATTTCATAAATACATATCTATCATATTTATATTCAGTATAGTATTTAAAGTCAAATGTTTCTTTTTAAATTTGCATCCTATTTTGCTTATAAAAAAGATTCATTAGCTATTGTATGATTTTTATTAACAATATATTTATATTTTATTAAATAATCAAATAATCAGATATTAGATACAAATATAATTAAATTAATGAAATATAAATATATATACATGTATAATATATTAAAAAAAATATATATATATATATATATTAGCTTTATTTTAATAACAACGCCATTCATTATATATATATATATATATATTAGTTTTATTTTAATAACAACGCCATTCATTTTATCTAAATTTGTACTTGTATCTCATTTTTTTAATATATTATACATGTGTATATATATATATATATATTCAAAGAACGATTTAATCGTTCAACTGTGCACGTTAATGATCTACAATTTTAATTTTCAAAATATCTTCAAGTATATTGCTTTCATTCTCCAATTATTTCTTTTTCCTTTCGTGTTTATGGTGGCTTCGTTTGGTACATTTTGTCCTTTACTTTTCGTCCACTCCTTGCATTGAACTATTTGAATTACTATTTTTCATTTTATCAGCAAGATATTGTATTTTCATTTGATTTTTTTTTTTTTATTCCATCACACTTTATTAACTCCTACGATCATATTATTTATATTTATCACTTTTAAAGATATCTTTTACTTTTAACTGTGACTTCATTTCCTTTTCTATGTAGATGCCATTCAGATATCTAATACTTATACAATAAATATGCACTTCAGAATTTTTCTTTTAATATTAAAAAGTATTCTCTGTTGACAACATTCGATTAAATATAATAAAAAAATATAAATCTTTCGCAAGTGTAGTAATTTATTTTATTGCGTACTATTAGTGTGGATAATAAATTATAAAAAATTACGAAAGAAATGTACGTATTGAATATTTGATCAATCGACATCTTACGACAGAGTCGTACTACATTAATTCACGATTATCTCTGATTCATTATTAAATGAATGACCATGTAATTACGCTTTATTTCGTCGTCCGTAAAAACAATATTATCTACGTAACTATAATTTTGTTACGTATCTAATTTTTTATTAAAGCAAAAAAAAAAAAAATGCAAAAATCTACGAGCGATCATTTGAAGAGATCATGAAATATTAATATGTAATTGTAAATTGCTGTTTTTAAAGCGAAAAGAAGTTTTTTTCATCTTTAATATTCGGTGCTCTTTCGTCATAGCATGTTTTTTCTCGTATAAATCTACGTCTACAAGTTTCTCGGAATGGACGAACGCATTTACGACGCAGATTCAAGAGGAAACGGAATGAAGAAAAAAATTCTTGAAGAGTCGCTGAAAAACTTACAAGAATGTCAGAAGATTTAAACTGCGTTCCAGTTTTCGTTGTTAGATCAGAAAGATATGTACTGGGATATGAGAAAGTTTTTCGTACCATTCGATTATTACGTTCGTTAAAATTCATTTCTTTCAAACATGGTTTCACGCAATAGGTGGCAAAGTAAGGATACTTCTTTAATTGGGCGCAACAAGAGCTGGGACTGATTCTACATGAAAAAAATAAGTGGAAAACAGAGGGATAAAATTTGTTTATTTGAGGTTTTTTTTTTGACAAACTCGAATTTGAAAGTTCTCGAGCATTCGATTTGCAACGTAATGCCAAGTATGTATATCTTGTGAACAATACTATAATACTTCCACGAAACTCGTCAATCACGTTTGCTGTTTTTTTCTTTTACTAGTATATAATGACGTATGCCATTTTTTTTTTGGCATTAGAAGTAATCTGCAACGCATAATGTGCTTCTTTGTTGCAAACAATATTTGTAGAATTATTTTATTGGTTTTATTGGCAAGGAAAACGTAAAAAATTTCATTCGTTAATTCATTTATAATTTAACTGGTGGAAGTTAATTCTATCGTTCATTCTGATTTATGTGATTATATCTTGTTATGATAATTGTTATGAACACGCGCTAGAAAATTTGCAAAGATATAATTTAAATAATTTATTGAATAACAAAAATGGTAATAAAAAAACAGATAATTAACACAAGACAATTAACACGAACTAATGATTCCAATAAACTCTTTAAACGGCACATTGACTCTTTTAAACCTAATTTCTTTTTTTTAACGTGAAGGAAATCTTCGAAAGACACTCGACTCTCCTGAGAGAGGGAAGTCGAGTTTTTCATACACACAGAGCTCTCCTCGTGCTGTTGTCCTAAAAGACAATATCTTTTTTCCCGCCTGAATAGGAGTTCGAACCTTGGACCCTCAAGATTAAGAGTCTGATGCTTTACCGACTGAGCTATCCCCACCTCTAAGCTCCCCACCTCTAACCTAACCTAAACCACTCTTCTTCAACGCTTTCCCACAACTGTGATTGACTCATCCATCAGTTTTTCCACTCGCACGATTCTCTCATTTTTCAAAAAACAAAAAAAAAAAAAAAGTGCTTCACGCTATGCTTCTTACATCATATTCATACTTTCTCGTTCATACATCTTCATGATCAGCAAACAGGCTATCTGTTACATCAGAAATTATATTTCGAAAAAGTATCGATATATTACAGCACTTGATTCTCAGATATTGCAATTGTGAATGTGATCCATATTGTTTTATGGTAAATGTGGTTCATAATATTCTATATTTAACTAATCATTAGTGTTTACTTTAGATAGGAAAATTGTTATGCAATGTAAACGTAAATTCGCAAATACAAATGATAATAAAGAAGTTTGCACAATGTCTTTTCTACTTCTCCGACAAAATTATAGAAACGCAGTGAAAGTAGAATGCTAATTAATGAAATTTGTTTGCAAATGTATTTTTAAAATATTGCTTTTCTTTTATCATTTTTTAATAATTTCAAAATAATCACTTCTTCACAAAATGTAATTATTATACTATATGTATATAATTTAAATTAATACATAATGAAAAGTATAAAGAAATAATCAAATTACATCAACAAAATGTCAATATCAAATTGATAATTCATAATTAATGTGATGAATTAACGAAAAAAAAAATGTAAATTATATTGTAGAAAAATTACACAAAATATTTGTATTGCTCTACGCTTTATACTTTATATAATCTGGCGGAAGCCATATTGAATTGGAATTAGGAGGTTAGGACTACCAGATATCATTTAAATTTATTCCTTTTTCCAATATTTTACGCATATTATTGGTTAGTGTTGTAGGTAATTTTCAGATCTTTAAATTTGTTTTCGTCTTTAATAGTAATCGATCTTTTACGTATTCTACTTTTTACGAAAATTTTTCTCTGTTTGAAAATGTAATATTTTTCAGCACACTACGACAAAGTATTTTTATTCTTTTTCGGATTGCAGTGATGAGGATTATTTTCAAGTTAACCCGGAATAATATGTACTATTTTAGACATGTCATTAAAATTTTTTATATGATCAATATTGAGAGCTAGAAACAAAGAAAAAATGGTATGTATTTATGTGTTTAAATTGTGCGAATTGTCTCGTGCTGTTTTGTTAAAATTTTGATAACCAATGACGACTATATCATTTTTCTTTAAAAGTTAAATATCACTATTTTATTATATTTTTAATAATATAATATTATTAAATAATTAATATTATATTTTTATTAATGGATCGTTAAATTTCTTGTATTTTTGTCTTACTATGCTCATTATTTTGAATAAAAGAATCAGTAGACTGTACTGCATCTTTGATATAAACGTATAAAATATATTTTTTACTATAATATAAAAAATATTTACTTTTTATAAATTTACTTTTTATATTAATTTACTTTTATATTAATATAAATTATATTATATTAATATGAAAAATATTTACTTTTGTAATATAAAAAATACTTACTTTTTACTATAATATAAAAAATATTCGCACATAACATCGAGGCTGATTTTCGTAAAATAACAATGCTTTAATCGCTATACTTTGATAATGTACTCGATATTACTTTTTCGTGCCTATTTGCGATTTTATTCAATTAATTGTTACATGGACAAGAAATTAGTAACAGAACTCAACATATTATTTCATCAAACAATAATCATAGTTAAAAATGTGGACAGAATGATGTAAGAGCGAGATCTACATACAACGACTTCTTTTTGAAAATGTTATAAGCTGTCATAGTATCTCAAATTATTGAAAAATTTTCTTCGTAACTGAATCATTAAAGGTTGAAAATTAAAGTCTCGTTTTATGATCACGATCAATAAACTTAATTTGTAAATTAGCGAATTTCTTATTTCTTAGCTCACCAAGCACAATAAAAACACTTCACACCTTTACAGAAGTGACATAAACGTGAAATCTCGAGGCTCACTGCTCGCAAATAGATTTTTATTATTATTTTATTATTATAAAAATTTAGTTGATCAGCAAACATCTTTTTATTCTGAGCATTAATGTCACATAAAAATTCGTATAGTTCATTCATAGTAGCAAATATCAAACCAGCGTGTAAGGATTCACAATAAAATAATGTTTTCTTTTATAAAAAGAATATTCATTATGGTTTCCAGCAGCAAAAGATGACGTTGCACGTTCGATTCGATCGAAATGCAGAATTCTATTATTCAGAACTTCATTGTACCTAT